GGTGCATTTTTTTTTAATATTCATAGAATGCTTCTACGCAGTCCCTTTAAGAGGTCAAAGCAATTTAAAAAATCCTTGATAATTATCCAACATTCCAAAATTGATGACTGATTCCAAGTGCTGTGTGTTTTATTCTCTTTCACCTCCTCCGCAGAAATCAAAGGGAGGAAAAGTAAGTAGCAGCTGAAATGATCCCCCACTCACTTTCTATAAAGAGGAAAATTAGCTGCTCTAATAATCATGAATATTAATGTATAGCCAATTTCACTCAATTAAAATGATGATCTATAATTTTGCCTTGGAGCTTTATGGAGGCCATTTCAATGACTACTGAGAAGTTGGATGCTTTTTAAAGTTCATGGGTTCGGCTTAACTCTCCCATCCCCATCACTGGCTTCCATGTAGGAAGGACCCCAATTCCTTCCTTGACCAAATTTCTCAGCTTTTAGACAATGCATTCTTTCTATTTTTAGGGCTCAGGATCTATCATTGCCATGGTGAGTTTATGAGATCTCGCACAACTCACATGCATTCCCTTCTTCTTGAACACTGCTCTTCACACGTCTCTGATCCACAGGGTCCCTGGGATGTCTACCCACTGACCACATGTGTCCAGTGAGGTCCCACTTTCCCTATTCATAGGAAATTAGCTAAAGGGGAAGCACTTCCCCATGTAGAGTCTATCCTGGGAATTTGGCATTGGGACTAAGAAGGGTTAATGCCAGAGGAATCCCCTCCCCTCCCCTCCCTTCCCCTCCCCTCCTTTCCCTTCCCCTCCCCTCCCTTCCCTTCCCCTCCCCTCCTCTCCACTCCTTTCCCCTCCTCTCCCCTCCCCTCTTCTCCCCTCCGCAGTACAGTCCCTGCCTTGTATACTTTGTCTTCTGTAGAAGTTGAGGATATGGTGTAGCTACTGACTTCATTTTTTCTCCTGCTCCCGGCTCAACCTTTAACTTTACAGGGAGCTCTCCACGGTCCTGAAGTCAGTTCTAGGGCTCTGCAAAAAAATTTCCTTATTGGCATCTTTTGGGTGGTTCCTTTTCAAAGGGAGATCACATAGAGTGCAAGGTCTCCACCTCCTACCTTGAAGTTCTCCCAGCCTTTCCTTTTCTTGGTGGAAAAAGAATACCCACTTCTTGTTTCCACGCCAAATTGCTAGTGCACCAGTTTCCATGACAACAGAGAGCGGGGAGTTAAAGGCCAGCCTCTCATTTATAGCAGAATTAAAAACTACCCTCTTGGAGAATGAATAATGATCTCAGGAGGGTCCTGGAAATTGAAAAGCATTGGCTTTTTATTTATCCATCCACATAGTATGAGACTCTGAGGGAGAAAATATGGGGATGGCGGGGGAGTTTCTGTAAGGACTTTTCATGGGGAGAAGGGCACACAGTAATGATGTTGGCAATAGCAATGATAACACCTCGCAGGGTCTCCACATTTTAAAATTTGTGGCAGCCACTTTAGACCCTCAATACAACCTGTGGATTTGATACAGGAAGAAACTGGGACTTCAAATGAAGAACTGATATGTGTGCCACTTTCATGCTGTCTTTTTAGTGCCCGGAGCTTCTCACTGCCTGACTGGGACTTCCCCAGCAGTATCTAAGCAGTGACTCTCCTCCTTATCAAAAGGTACTCATCCCCTGTCCTATTCCTTCCCATCCCTGATAACAGTGGCACCGCTGAGAAGCCGGTCTTAGCTAGAGAGCAATAGTGAATTGAAGGGTTACTCTCCCAGGCCAAGTTTACTGGTGACTCCAATGGCTACAAGAGCTGACACTTTGTCAGATTAGAGTTTGGTTATGAATGCTCTCCCCCATTCTGCTTACACGAAGGGCTGCTTTTTTTCATTGACATTGGGGCACTAGTTTATGCTCTATATATCCTCAGGACAATCCTAGGAGGCAAGTACTATTATTATCCACATTTTACAGTTGAAGATACGACTCAGAGAGGCCATGTAACTTGTCAAAGTTCACACTGCTATGAATGCCAGAGCTGCGATTGGAACCCAAGTCACCTGACACTTCGGTAGACATGAGTATCAAGTCCAACAAGAGCCAGAATGAGTCCCTCTTCAGCTTGCTTGAAGCCCAAGGACACTTCTGAGACTTAGGGTTAATTTCAAAGTTGTTTCCTTAATTGGGAGGATTTGGATTGTAGGAAGGCTCATGGGGAGAAGGGCTTTGGGTTGGGTTCATTTAGGAACAGTTGCCCAGCACAGGGTGAAATGCAGCTGGCTGGGTGATAAATATAGAAGCTTCACAGTCACAGAAAAAAGTCCCTCAGTTTCACGCTTTGCCATTCTGGGAGGGCCTGGTAGCATCTTTAGACTTATCTCCTCATATACCAGAGGGCTGGGTGGCAATGTCAGTTTGCAATTTTATGTTTCAGAGACCCCAGAGGTGTGATCTGGTTAAATAATTAGGGTCATGCTACCATAAGAGATTAGGATTATCGAGTCTCAGAGCTAAATAGGATCTTAGAAATAGTCAAGTCCAATGTATCCCAAAGTTTTATTGTGTATACCACCAGGGATACATAAGATGGTCCAGATGTTGTATTAGTTAGGAAAAGCTTATGAATGCAGTAACAAGCAAACCCGGAAGTCTCTGTGATCTTACACAATCAAGCTTTGTTTCTCTTACATAAACTCTGATGGGAGTCGGTCAACCCTCTATGGTGGTGGTCCCCCATGCAATTACTCAGGGACTCAGGCTACTTTGATTTTTGTGATGCTGCCACCCCACATGTAGCTTCTAGGTCATGAAGGCACAGAAGAGGGCTGGCAGGCTGCACATGTTGCCCAAAGCATGACCACAGATGCAGAGGTTAACAATCTTTGCTCTGTGATTGGCTTGTTTAGCTTTCATTATTGATTGTGTTGTAAAATATAAACATTTGTGAAATTTAGAAGATTAAGATCATTTTGATAGTATTATTTACAGACTTTAAATATGTGGCTATCACACGTCTGTGCAGGGGAATAAGTACTACATAAAATAACTAGCTTAGAGTAAATAGTTTGCATCAGTAAAAAAAAAAAAAAATCTTTGCTCTAAATAAGAACTGACTTGGCTGGGTGCGATGGGCAGTGGCTCACGCCTGTAATCCTAGTGCTTTGGGAGGCCAAGGCAAGTGGTCACTGGAGGTCAGGAGTTTGAGACCAGCCTGGCCAACATGGTGAAACCCCGACTGTACTAAAAATACAAAAATTAGCCGGGTGTGGTGGCACATGCCTGTAATCCCAGCTACTCAGGAGGCTGAGGCAGGAGAATTGCTTGAAGCTGGGAGGCAGAGGTTGCAGTGAACTGAGATTGTACCATTGCACTCCAGCCTGGGCAAGAGAGCAAGACTCCATCTAAAAAACCCAAAAAACAAACAAAAAAAAGGAATCGACTTGCAAGAAGGAAAGAGGAGGGAATTTACCAGCTAGGGGCTTGGAACCACCCACCTCATTTGTTAGTATATCATAATTACAGATTTTTACTGACCCCTGAGTAGAATCAAAGACCACCTCCAAGATTTGCTTTTTTGTCAGCAGGGGAGAAGGTGCCTCGACATTCAGAGGCAGGGAAGATGAGGCATCACTCTGTCCAGTAGAGGGAGGGAAGCGGATCTTGTAGTAAACTCCCAAAAGGTGATTTGAAAGGGAAACTGATCTCATCCATCTCAAAGTTGTAGCCAAAGGCAGAAACACAAACGCATATACAAAGATACACAGATACACTGAGGCAGACACACAAAGACATTCTAACGTGTGCACACACGCACATCCAGGCACACACAGGCTCACCCACGAAGATACAGCAACACTCACTTCCTCTGCATGTGTGATTCATCTCCCCAAGGCTAGGAGGAGATGCTGAAAGGACCCGGGGGTCCCATGGGGACCATGAGCAAGGCCTGTAGTGTATAAATCTGGGGTCAGCAGCAGAATAGGCTCAACCACCCTCATTTCTTCTCTCTGGTGCCCTATAAATATCTCCTGGTTCCTGCCCCACCTCCTGGCAGCAATCCTTACTGCCATCTCTCCCAGCTTGTTAGATTTAGGTGCTGGAGTGATTTGTTTCTTTTCTTCAGATCAGCAGAAGCTGCCTGACTAGGGCAAATTCACCATTCAGGGAGCCTGCAGAATCAATATTACTTTCTCCTTCACTGAGAGGGAAAGTGGGATTTTTAGGGAATCAGCCATGGTTGGTTTGACTTGATCTTTTTGGCCTCGCAGAGCAAGAGAAAGGGATTTCTGACACAGGGTGGGACTGACCCCACTCCTCAGTTCAGTGTGGACTGCTGAGCCTCTGCTGTGGTTACTCTTGCACCCAGGGCCTTGGGTCCTGGGGTCAAGAGATTTAAAGCAGAAACCAGTTGGCAGACTTCTTGGAGACTTCACACATCCTATGGCGTCCCTGATGCCAGGAGGTCTCCAGTGTCATGGTCAAGAGCATCAGCTCTGCACTCAGCCTGTCTGGGTCTAAATCTCAGCTCAGCTGGTAAGAGGCTCTATGACTTTGAGCTCGTTACAGAATTTCTCTGAGCCTCAGTTTCTCCATCTTTAAAATGGGGATAACAATGGTAGTTCCCTCATGGGACTATCATGGATACACGCCATGTAAAATATTTTAGTACACGGTCACACCCTGGGAGACAGAGTTCCAGAAGTTGTGGCTGCAGGCGTCAGGTAAGAGACACAAACCTGACTCAAAGAGGAACATTCATGAAGATGTCACAGCTGCAAAGAGAAAATGAATGCCAGGTCCCCACTCACCTTGTCAGAGGCCCTGGCTGTTCTGAATATGCCATAGCCAGACTCAATGGGGGCCCACACTGAGCTACAGACAACGCTGGCTATGGTGGTGTTGATGGAGGGGTGAGACTGGCCTCAGGGCCTGCTGACTGTTCCTTGGGTGTCTGGGGCCTGGGCATGGATGTTACCTTAAGAAGCACACACTGATCTCCCTTCCTCCACACCACCCCATCCTCCCTGCCTTTCTTCTCAGAGCCTCATTGAGCACCTACTATATTCCAAGTGCTTGAACAAAGTAAACCTGGCCTCTGCCCTGATGGTGTGTGCCTCATAGTCTGGGAAGATAGTCAATCAACAAATAAGCAGAAAGGTGAGCAAGATGCTTCCCGATGGTGGTAAGGCCTCTCCAAAGAGGCGACATCTGAGTTGAGATGTAAGGAGGAGAAGGAGCTGGCTGTGCAGACACCTGGCGCCTGTGTCCACAGCGGGTGGGAATGGCAATTGCAAAGGCCGTGGAAAGCAGGAGACACCTGGGAGTTTTGGTGTTTTTGTTGTTGCTGTTTTGGGACAGGGTCTCACTCTGTCACCCAAACTGGAGTGTAGTGGCACAATCAGCTCACTGGAACCTCGAACTCCTGAGCTCAGGTGATCCTCCCGCCTCAGACTTCTGAGTAGCTGGGCCCCAGATGCATGCCACCACACCTGGCTCATTTAAAAAAGCTTTTTTAGAGATGGGGTCTTGTTATGTTGCCGAGGCTGCTCTTGAACTCCTGGCCTCAAGCGATTCTTCCACCTTGGCCTCCCAAAATGCTGGGATCATAGCTGTGTCCAGCCCAGAGTCTTAAGTTTCACAGGGACAGAAAGAGGAACAGGGTAAGTGAAGGAGAGGGGTTGCTGCAGGAGATGAGGTTGGAAGCGTGAAGAGATGGTGTCCTGCCTCATCGACCAGGGTGAGAAATGGAGGTTTTATTTTAAGTGCAGCCAGAAGTCATTTGCTAGAGGCTCCAAGCTGAGGAGAAAGACACGATTCAGTTTATATTTTAAGAGGAAGGCTCCAGCTGCTACATGCAAAGACCTGTGGAGGGGCAAGATGGGAGCTGCGAAGGCAGAGAGGAGGTGGCTGCAGGAAACCTGGTGCCTTGGACAGAGGTGACTGGAGTAGAAAGGAAAAACTGAATTCTCAATAGAGTTTGAAGGAAGAGCCAATAGGACTTGCTGACAGATTGAATTGGACTGGGTTAAGGGTGACAGATTTGAACTTGTCTGTCTCAATTTAGGCCTGATTCTATTTTCATATTAACCTTCTTGTGATGATTAATAGGATCGCTCCTTGGGATTCTGGAGGGCAGGTGGAATGAACTGCAATGGAGACTCACTCCTTCCTCAACTCACAATAAAGGGATGTCAGAGAGCTGGGTTGTAGCCCCTTCTCTGCTACCAACTTGATGAGTGGTGTTGGCTAAATCACACCACTCCCCGGGCCCTCATCCTGGCTCCAGTGTCCTCACTATGAAATGTGCATGGTCATAGTGTCTTCACAGAGGGAGGGGCTGAGGAGAGCTGGACTTAATGCACCGTAAATGTCCAGAGAGTAGAAAGCAGTGACAAAGAAGTGCATGTGGTAGGGTTGTATTGGGAAGTGTCTCTTTGCTGGCTGATCATTCCCCTCCCCTCTCTCTCCTCCTTTCCCCTCCCCTCTCTCTCCTCCTTTCCCCTCCCCTCCCCTCCCTTCCTCTGTCTTTCCCTTCCTTTCCCTTCCTCTCCCCTGCCTCCCCTTTCCTTCCCTCCCCTTCTTTCCCCTCTTCTGCTCTCCCCCTGCCTTTCTTCTCCCACCTTGGTTCTGAGGACCCTTCTCTCCTTCGCCAGATGGTACTGACAGAGCCAAGGATGAAAGCACGCAGATGCATTCTGCCCACTCCCGATCCCTGGTCTCTGAGAAGTGATGAGACTGGAGCTGGGGAAAAAGGAGGTTGATCTGGAAGACCATTCTGAGCAGGAAAGGATGGTGTGGAGGCCTTTGCGAAGTGGGAGGGGATTGGGGAGGGCTTCCATCATGAGTGCAGAGGAGAAGGGCAGGGACTGAGCAGTAAGCTGCCCTGGAGGGCACCTGCCTTCTGACCCGTCATTTGTGAACAAACCACCATCCAACCATCCTGCCAACTCTCCAGCCCCATGAAGAGAAGGTGAAGGGCTTGGATACTTGTGGGGAGAGGAAGAGAAGGGGTAATCTTGTTCCCTAACCAGTGAGGGACTGACCAGGGCCACTGGGAATTTTCCCATGAGCTGGGGTAGAAAGGGACTGTCGGTCACTGTTAGATGTCTATACCCAGCTGTCCCACCTGGGGAGTCTTTTCTTTAGACATCCATGAAAGTACAGTGATGTCAAAGATGTTTAATGAGTCTCCCCAAATGGGATGTTAGGAGACATCCTGTTTATCAGTCTGAGACTTGTTGAATAAATTACATTATAGCCATACTGTGGAATATCACACAGCTATGAAAAAGGACAAGCTCAATCTCTGTGTCACCCTGAAGGGAGATTCTTAATACACAGGTGAAAAAGATGAGTTGTAGAATCATGTACATCGTACACTCTCTCTCTCTCTCTCTATACACACACACACACACACACACACACACACAATTTTTTGGTAAGTTAAAAAAAGAGGGCCAGGTGTGGTGGCTCATGCCTGTAGTCCCAGCACTTTGGGAGGCTGAGGTGGGATCACTTGAGCCCAGGAGTTCGAGACTAGCTTGGGCACCATGATGAAACCCTGTTTCTGCAAAAAATACAAAAATTAGCCAGTCTCATAAGTCTCCAAATAAATAAATAAATAGAAAAGCATTTTTTAAAAAAGGCATAGGGAAGGGAACTCTACAACAATCTATTAACATTGCTAACGACAGGGGTTGGAGTTAGAATGGAGTCGGGGAGATTATTGATTTTTTACTTTGTTATTTAGCATATTGCAATGCATGTTACTTCCATAATTAAGAAAATCTAATACACATTTTTATAAAAGTTCAAGGTGTCCTCAGATATGTTCAAGCCCAAAAGAATCTTTTTTTTTTTTTTTTTTTTTTGGAGACGGAGTCTCGCTCTGTCGCCCAGGCTGGAGTGCAGTGGCCGGATCTCAGCTCACTGCAAGCTCCGCCTCCCGGGTCTACGCCATTCTCCTGCCTCAGCCTCCTGAGTAGCTGGGACCACAGGCGCCCGCCACCTCACCCGGCTAGTTTTTTGTATTTTTTAGTAGAGACGAGGTTTCACTGTGTTAGCCAGGATGGTCTCGATCTCCTGACCTCGTGATCCACCCGTCTCGGCCTCCCAAAGTGCTGGGATTACAGGCTTGAGCCACCGCGCCCGGCCAAAAGAATCTTATACTAAGCCCCAGTCCCTGGCCCCTGGTAAGTATTTGCAAAAAATGTTGGATGAATGATGGAAAGAGGAAGAATGAAATGTTTAGCTCAATATCTCATTTCTTGGATGGTTTGTAAAGCTTTCAATAAAACAGGAGCCTTGAGGCAGTTGGTCATTAATGAATAACTCATCATCAGAGGTCTGGATGGAATATTAAAGCAGTCCCAGCAGTCAACAGTGCCCCTTGTTAAACATGGTCCCTGCTGCAGCTAGTCTAGGTCCAGGCTCATATTCTAGCCGACAGCTTGGAGAGGAGTGATCGTCACATTTCCTCACGTAACCATCCTCATTTTTAGGGTTGACAGTTCTGCTGCTGCAGTGACAGGGAGGTGGGTGGGTGAGTCCTTTGAGTGTTGCTGGGATGTTCAGTCCCGGGGCTGTGACTGGGGAGAGTGATGTCACCCTTGATGAATTTCTGAAGACTCAGGTAGAGCGGCTTACTATGATGAAAACCTCTTATAAGTAGGTTTTTCCTTCTTTTTAGTAAACAGGTTGCTCATTACTCTTCGACAGCTCTGACCTTGGCTGCAGAGTGGGTGCTGGGTGTTGGGATAGGGGTAGGTGGAGGGGCATGCATGGAGGTCCGTCTTATCCCGTGTCTCGTCTGATTTTTCTTCAGTCTCCTCCTGCCTCACTTTCGGAGCAGAGAGTCCTCATGCACCACTGGGACTCCCCATCCCCTTCCCTGTCTGTCAGTGTCTTACTGAGCCAGGCAGACTCCTCGCTCTCTAAAGTGACAGTTCGTTTTCAGATTCCCTGTTCACGTTTCCATTTTGCAGGTGACAGAGACCAGTGTGTTATTCCTCGTAAGTAGTATAGCGGGAGCCTCTGGGAATGAAACATTTAGCCAAATGACTGACTCTGATGGAGAATTTTCAGGTATTTTGGTAGACGAAGGGATAGAATAATTTAGGACTAGGTCCAAGTTCTATTGCTAAATAACATTTCCCACCCTCCCCTCCCCCCGCACTTTTCTGTTGGAGACAGAGTCTCACTCTGTCACCCAGGCTAGAGTGCAGTGGTGTGATCACAGCTCACTGTAGGCTTGACCTCCTGGGTTCGGGTCATCCTCCCACCTCAGCCTCCCAAGTAGCTGGGACCACACATGTATACCACCATGCCTGGCTATTTTTGTTTTGTTTTGTTTTGTTTTGTTTTGTAGAGACAGGGTCTCACCATGTTGCTCAGGCTGGTCTTGAATTCCTGGGCTCACATATACCACTGTGCCTGGCTATTTTTGTTTTGTTTTGTTTTGTTTTGTAGAGACAGGGTCTCACCATGTTGCTCAGGCTGGTCTTGAATTCCTGGGCTCAAGCGATCTCCCCACTTTGGCCTCCCAAAGTGCTGGGATTACAGGTGTGAGCCACCATGCCTGACCTATTTTTCCCCTTTTTATAAAGGCGATATGTGTTCAATTCATACCACTTGCAAAACGCAGAAAGACACAAGGAAAATTTAACAACACATTCCTCCATAATCCCTCTAGCCAAAGTGACTCATCGCAGCAGATACACACACAGTGTAAATATATATTTACAAAAGTATACTTTGCATATTCTTCTGTAGCCAGTTCTTTTCACTTAGCAATATATTGTGAGTATAGTCCCATAACTATAAATATTCATCTATACCGTGAGTTTTTTCCAAATGGAAAAATTGCAAACAACACAAAACATAAAAAACAATAAATATCTCTATTATTGCAATCCTCAGGGATAGCCATTATCACTTTAAAAATATTCTCTTGCCTTTCTTTTCTATGCATGTTCACACTAGAATCTAATCCCTATACAGATGCTCCTCGATTTACAATATGGATATGACCCCATTGTGAGTCAAGGAATGTACTGAAAGCCTATTGCTTTCTCACCATCATAAAATGAAAAAATGAAACCATAAGTTGGGGACTGTCTGTAGTGTCCTGACTTACTTTACCTACCCCTGTGTCCTCA